ACCGCGGCTATTCTCAAAAAACTAATAAATTAAATAATACACAGAAACCGAAACTAAAATCGAAACTACAGGCGGGCAGAAATAAGTATACGGGCAGAAATAAGCAACTTCCGGATGTAGGAGGGCAGAAATAAGCAACTTCCGGTTATAGACGGGCAGAAATAAGCAACTTCCGGTTGGGGCAGAAATAAGCAACTTCCGGTTGGGGCAGAAATAAGCTCCGGTTGACTTTCCATGATGACGTCACTTCCGCCGCACCAACCGCGGCTATTACTACTGTCAATGTCATTCAGGAAAAAAAATCAACTTTCAACCATTAAATGCTGCAACCATAAGATTCTAAATTAAGCCATAATTTATATGCATTATATAATCCATATTAAGTAGTGCAAAAACATAATCCTATATTAAGGTAGCAGGAAATTATACAGGGTGTCCCAAAACGACCGCATAAACTCTGCACAGCTAGATTCCTCGTTGGGAGTACATAAAAACTGCCCAAAGAAGCGTTCTTGTACGATCCATAGTTTACGAGAAAAATACGAAAAACAAAGTATGACGTCACTGCCGGTGCAAGAAGAAAAGCACTTTATTGGACATATCCACGGCGTGCTCAAGCCTGCCTCGACATGTACGGCGGACACTTTGAACATTTGCTTTAAATTGTGCATAGTATACTGCTGTTGATATTTTCAATAAAATGTTTTTTCTTGCACCGGCAGTGACGTCATACTTTGTTTTTCGCATTTTTCTTGTAAACTATGGATCGTACAAGAACGCTTCTTTGGGCAGTTTTTATGTACTCCCAACGAGGAATCTAGCTGTGCAGAGTTTATGCGGTCGTTTTGGGACACCCTGTATTAAGATTAGGAACGATATAATGGTTCAAAATGTTCCAAAATTTCAATTTGCGTGTAGTTTTTAATATAAGATTTCGTAAAAGGACAATTCTCTCATCATAAAGAGATCTTAATCTCTGGCAGCGATCAGTAAGCAGGTGGGTGACCAGTTTGATCAGCATGTGCAGGGACCAAGGGAGTGCGTTATCGGTCGTCGGTAATCTATTCTACTGTAAAATGCTCGAATTCGCGTGAAAATCGTTGGGCTGCAAAAGAGGGGGTGCCATCCTCTCTGCAGATTATTAAAATTATGATGACATGTGTTCGAATCATCTTCAATGATATTTCCCAGACCATCGCCAATAGCCCATTGTGCAACTCTAATGCGATGTACATGAAGTACCTACCGTACCCAAGGCAAGCGAAGTACCAAATCCTATGTATTTTTATACTGTACTTAAGGAAATCTAAATCAAGTAGATAGTTTCGTTAGATAGATATTTTTCGTTTTGGATAGATTTTGATATAGTTTAGAAGCTATAAAGGTTTCGTATAGTTATGTCCATTCATGCGACTAACTTCGCTATTTAGACAAGTAAGACATTTTTCCTCTTTCATTTTCTCTTACGCTAAATTCAATAAAATCGAAAGTAAGCCGATAAAAGTGTTAGCTTTATAGTTATAAGGGTTTTATTCAAATATCAGTGAAAAATTAAAAATTTAATGAGTGACAGTCTTGTAACAAATTATAAGTTCTGCTTTATTGTTTCGATTTCATCTAATTCAGCTTAAGAAAATGCATAGGTAATAATACCTTATTTGGCAAGTAAAGTTTTTGTGGCGTAATTAGGTAACATAATGAGTATTTATTCCAAATTGTTTCCATTTTGAGCCACGATGGCTCAGGGGAATGAGCAGTCGCCTTCCAATGAGGTGAACCGGGTTCGAATCCCAGCAAAGGCCGGTCGATACGAATCCGCATCCGACTTGCATAGACCACAGCGCTGACGTAAAATATCCTCAGTGGTAGACGGATCATGGGTCCGTTTGCCTTCAGGCTAACCGTGGGAGGTTCTCGTGGTCTTCCTCTCCGTGTATTGCAAATGCAGGCTAGTTCCATCAAAAAGTCCTCCACGAAAGCAAATTTCTCCCAATACTTGATCCAAGAGTTCCCTTTGTCTTCTGGATTGGATTCAAAATTGTAAGGATAAGGAGTTGAGCATTAGTAGTCGTAAACTCAAAAAATGGGATCACTGTTCAACGATGGTTACAAAATTGTTACCATGAGCCGTGGTGGCTCAAGGGATACAGCGCTCGCCTTCTAATTAGGTGAACCGGGTTCGAATCCCAGCTATGGTTGGCCTATACGAACTTCACACCCGGCACTTATCCTGACGTAAAATATACTCAGTGATGGACTGATCATTGATTAGAGTCCCCTTGCAGTCAAGCTAACTGTGGGCGGTTTTGGTGGTTTTCCTCTTCATGTAACGCAAATCTGGGTCAGTTCCATCAAAAAGTCCTCCACGATGGCAAATTTATCCTACAAGTCCTATGTTTTGATTGTTACTTGGCTTGTTAACCATCAGAACAGTTCCGTAATTAGAACTGTTCCTCGTATGTTAAACTAAACAGCAATCACATTTTCTCTCGATACGAGTTATGCATTCTACGGTAAAAATAATTCTTCGAACAAAAGTTAGCTAAAACAATTCTTTTCAGTATCTAATCAATGCTTTCGGGATGACATCATCTTGACGACAGTGGCATTTCTTTCGCGTTTTAGAATCGCGAGAAGAAATAGTAAGAGATGAGGAACTAGAAATCGTGATGGCCTTGCAACTTCCGCCTCAAATCGAATGTCATGAGCGAAATGTGACAGCTCAACCAACTTAAAAAAAAAGAAGAGAAAACCCTTCCTATTGTTACCTAGAATTTTGATCTCGTCTTTCGATTCAATCGCCCGCGAAGTCAATGTTTGCGTTTGCGGTGACATAATCTCTTGCTAAAATCGCCATGTTGATGAGAAAATTTGATGGAATAAGAAGAAAACTGAACTACAGACTCCACCACGCAAACGATTTCCCCCCCCCCTTTTTTTGGGGGCCTAATTTTGACAACAGGCGAGATGAACTCGGCGACTGTAAAACTAAATAATTGTTTTTAAGTTTGAGAGAGAGGTTTTTACTTTACAACAATCTATACAGATAATGTAAGATGTTGTTTGCGAACTATTGAAGTTGTCAGGTGAAGTTTGTTATTCAAACGCAATATTTGTTCTTGTCAAATAACAAATAAATTAATGGGAAAGATTGCACGAATTATACGTAAAAAAAATTAGCCAAAAGTGACGAAAAATAAAATCCTTTCGCTATTACTTCAATTTGAATAAAAAGAAATGTTTTCCATTATACAGATAATTATTTACAGTTTTCCATTATACAGATAATTATTTATAGTTTTCCATTATACAGATAATTATTTATAATTTTCCATTGTGCAGATAATTATTTATAGTTTTCCGTTGTACAGATAATTATTATATCGTCAAATATTAGTTACAGTTACCCAGTGACCGAATTCGCAATTGAGGATATTTTTATAATCAGAGTAATAACTTAAAAGAATATTTTTTTAATTCAGAAATTTGAATGGAATTAAAAAAAGTCGTAAAAATTGAATTTTTTTTAAATTTTTAAAAATTTCATAATTTTTATTTTCTTCTTTTTTCAATTTTTTCCCTTCTTTCTTTCTTATATATATACAGGGGTTGGACAAAATAATAGAAACACTTCTATACTTACTCATTTTTTTAAAAATTTCTCTAGAAACACTTGAAGAATTATTTTAAGACTTTAGAAGTGTTTAAGTCATGCGATTTCTCATACATATCAATAAAGTTTAAAGCTTTTAGAGGCCTGAAGGACAGACAATAATTTACGAACGAAAAATAGTATTTTCGAACTCCCTATGCCACAAAATACAGCGATAAGTTTGTAATTCATATTAGTTGATTAGAAAATGAAATATTTGCGCAAAATTTCGTGAACCTAGCTTAAATAATCATGGAGATATGGACCTTTTTATAAGAAACTAATTTATTTGTTTTACATTTTCTAACTGTGACTGCATAAATATTCAATAAAATTAAACATTTTTAGAATAATTTTTAATTGATAATAAAAAATTTATTCTAAAATTTGAAAAAAATTCGTTAAAAATTGCGCCAGATATGAGTATTTAAAGTTTCATACTGCGCATGCGCGGAAAACATTCAAAAATTTTTTTAAAAACTCTGAATTTTATTCAGAATCGTGTATGGTAACTTATGAAAAAAGTCAGATTTGAATATCTTTAGAATGTAAAAAGTGTTTATCAAATTTCCAGGTAGCTTTTAATGATAAGCTCTAAATGATAAGGGGTTTTCATTTTATATCATAAAACAAAATATCATAAAACTTATATGTATACTACTTACAAATATGTGAGGTTTGTAATGGAAAAGCAATATATGTTCTCATCAATAAATAAATAAAAAGAGGGAAATAGAGAGAGAAGAAAAAATTTGCATATTGAATAAAAGTTAAGTTAAAAAAATGTTATCGCGCTATTAAAATACCATAATTGCATTAACAAAAAAAAAAAGAAAATTACAGATTTTTAGTTTGCAAATAAATGCAAATATTTACTTTCTTTTTTTGGGGGGAGGGGGGGGGGNGGGTCAGGTGAAGTTTGATATTCAATTTTTTACTTATTTTTTTCATTTATTCTCGGGGGGGGGGAGTGATTGCGCGAAGTTAATTTATAAAGATTTTGCTCTCATTATTAAAATACCCTAATTGCATCTCTGAAATAAAAAAAACTTTTTAGTTGTTATTTATTTGTTAACTATCATGCATGTGAAGTACATTGCATTTAAATGCGATATTTTGTTTTGAAATAGAAAAAGATTTGCCCGAAGTTAATATCTGCGACGATTTAACGTCTGATTGCAAAATATCTCAATTTCAGTCACACTAAAATAAAAAGAAAAGAAAAAAACAATTACATCAATTCTTACGTCCTTATTCACTATGAATTATTAGCTTTTTAAATAATATCGTAATGTACTAATTATAAAATAAAATAATAGTAATTTTTTGTTTATCTTTTTCTTTTTAGATAACAAAGTTGAAAATCGACAGCAATCCTTTTGCCAAAGGATTCCGAGATTCCTCCAGACTTACTGATTTGGAAAGGTAAAAAAAAATTTCATTAATAAATTTATTTAACGAACAATAAAATTTGTTATTTCTATTACTAACCTTATTAATTCCATTGGAAAAAAAGGCTGACATCTCCATATATTCCCTACCGATTGGCAACTAATGATCACAGATATAATTTTTTATAGTAAACCTGGGAATTATACGTAATTCAAAAATTTTGTTCGAAACTCTATTTGCTATGCACAGTTTAATTCGAAACACTATTTATAACTCTTTATGAGAAAAGAAAAAAAAAATCAGATTTCTCCTGCCCCTCATTTTCTTCAATAAAAAGAAATATCACATTTTAATTTCCTATTTATTTTTAACTCTTCACTATCAGCGATTTCATTTGTAACTTCACGATCAGCCAGAAGAGGTAACTAAACTTTTTACATGTATGTGTCGCCATCTGTTAGAAAACAGGAGAACTACCTTTTATAGTCTTTTGTTCTCTTTTTAATTTCCCTAATTAATTTAATTCTCTTCGGGCTTGAAAGCATAAGACTTCATATAACTTCATATGCATTGTTAATAATTTCTCAAAAATACGCTTAAAAAAACTTCTCGTTTCATACGTTATAATTAACAAATTAATAATAATACTAATAATATGTTAAGGAGCTTCAAATTTAATTTTGTAATCTCAATTTAATTAAAAGTTGGATCACCATCTTTAATAACATAATCAATACCATTAAGTGGAATGACGTTGTCAGACACCAATTTTTATCTTCTTTTTTATCTTCTCATAATATCAACGTTCGTTCCATTGTATTGTAATGCACATAAATATTATTACTTCGTCTCATTTTCTCAATTTTAAAAAAACTTACTTTTCAAATTGCTTCTCTTCACAGATGACCAGGTTCGGATTAAACGCACACGTGGCCCTAGGCCATTCAAATTTTTAGGGCCCTTAGATTAATTTTTTTTCTCGTATATTTTTTATTTATTCAAATATAAAAGCATTTATATATCTTTTCATTTAAGAAAGCAAATTTAAAATAAAAATAAATAACAATAAATTAAATTTTACTTTATTTTGTTAAATTGGAACTAAAAAAATTATCGTATTTTATTAATATATATTTAAAATTGATTATTTTTAAAAAAAAATCATTGCTTTTCTTAATTTTTGTAAAGTTATTTTCAAAAAAAAATTTTTAAGGGGGCCCCAGGCCATGGCCTAGTCTGGCCTAATGAATAATCCGGCCCTGCAGGTGACTTCTTACATGAAACATTTAAAATAATAGTCATAAAACGTTCCAAAATTTAAGCTTAATCATTTGATAATACATATAGCTATAATCATCGCCAATAACTAATCCTAATATAAGCAAGCTGGCTTCCGAATTAGAAAGGAAAATAAAAAATCGTTTGAAAATTTTATGAAGAATGCATAGATTTAATTGCCCATGTCGGAGATCTTATCGGGCATTTTCAAATGTCTCCCTTTCTCTAGATAACAAATGATAACACTTCTCTTGAAATTTATTCGTAGCCATCATTATGAAACAATATCCCACCGTTAAGTCAGTGCTTTACTCTAATCAATGAGAATGACCATTATGCCCGAAAGAGCTTAGGGTAAAATGGGTAAAAGGGCTTAAAAGCGAATGGAAATGAGAAGAGCCCTTTATTCTTAATGGTGCAGGCACTGACTGGACGAATAAATTAGCGATTTAGTTCCAAGCACGTCCCACCTTTAAGTCCGCTCTACGTCAAAATGCCGCCCCGAATTCATTAATACTACCGCTGGACTTAGGTCTGCGTTCAGAATTAGAGCCTGGACTTCGAAAATGAGATTTCTCTTAAGGACTCCGTACTTCCAGAAGAATCGATTTCGGGTTTTAGAATTAGCGAGTGACAGCTTTGATCTGTAAAATTTGTTAAAGATAGCTTCATATATTTTAAATGCTTATTTGTTTCTGTTTCTAGTTTGAAGGCAATTTAATTGCACGGTAAAGAAAAAAAAATAAATAAATGAACTTTACATGACAATCTACTGCAAAATACTGAACCCGCACTGGGGAATACTGAGTCCGTTAAAATATTCGCAGAAGGTTCAGTAATTTTACTGAAATAAAATACTATTAATTACTTCGACTTATAGACATTGAGCATTTTCCAGCTCTGAAACAGCCAGGCACATTGCATTAGAGCTAAAAGCCTCTTGAGACATAATCGGAGAGAGTGCATATAGACTGGAAAAAAAATTGAAACCCAATCCGTGATTGGCGAAGATTATGCCCACCATATCAAATGGGCTACTGCCCAAAGGTATGATTTGTTTTGGGAACATAGATGACTTTGTGACCCGACAGATTTAACGTACACCAATCTCCATTTACTACCCGAGGAATTTTCGGCCGGCGGGAATCAAACTCACGACCTCTTGGACATGGGTCCAACACCCTACCAACCTGGCTATCCCAGCCTTAGATATTTTCTGTAACTTTGTAAAGGAGAAACTCGGTTTTATGCATTTGAACGAAAATTTAAGCATTTTAAAGAACTCTTGTTTATCCCCTTTGTATTTATATCCCCTGTTTAAAGAAAAAAAGCTCCAAACTCGATCATGAAATGGTGTATAACAAGGGACAAAATGATGATTATTGTTAGAGTATAGATCTGGTTTTCTAGCTTACCATTTCAACTTCACTTCTTTTTGAATTCTCCTTTGAAGGAGAAAGCTTGGCCAAGAAGTCGTCATCTGAGGTCTGGAACCCAAATGATTTTTTGAGCCTTTAAATAAAGGATGCTTGAAATGAACGTCATTAATTTAAGAATCCGTGAAGCAAAAAGGTGGACATATAAGAGGTCGCATTAGTTATATTTAAGCTAAGAAAAAATGAAAATAGCTATCAATAGCTATCAAATATCACTACAGAGAATGAGAGTCTGAAAGATCAAAACCTGTTTCATTGCTGGAAAAAATGGAAAGAAGTCAAATATCGATTGTCAGAAACGCCTCCAGGTTTGGTCAGTAATCAAGCTGACTTTAATGTTATGCATATCGCTTTTCTCATAAGTGATTTGCCCAATTTTGAGAGTATTTTTTGTTTTACAGAGCTTGAATAATGATATACAGTGCCTTATTTCTAAAATATTTTTAACAACTACTGTAAAGGCATATACTAAAGGTGGTAATTACAGAACACAAAAAAAAAATATGAGGTTACTACTTGATATTTCCGTTTTAAAAAGGGAGTGAAAAATAAAATAAAAATTAAGTGAATACTTTTAAAATATATCGTTTGAACCTTCATGGCAAGAAACGCACCCTTTAAACTTTGAATTCATGAGAAGCTCATCTTTGGAATATGGCAACGGTTTTCAAAGTGTGTGCCGCGAGGTGTCCATAATTTCAAGTCTAAATTTATGATAATTTCCTCAAATCATGTTCATCAAATATGTATTGCTAATTAATACCTGTGGGAAGCTGTGTTTTCAGTAGTATCTAGGAGAACTAATATCACTCTAAATTAAATGTCGAAAAAATGAGAGGAACTATATCGAGCTTTTCGAAAATATAAAATATATACAATGATTTTCAAACTCACCATTGCACTAAACATGCTAATTATACTGCCGTGAGACATTATCTATCCTCACAAGGATGTCACAATTTAAGAACGCATTGGATATGGCATTTAATTAAACCTATAAGAATAAGTTTATTTATCACACAAATAAAACAAGGTTTCAATCCCCCCTTTCCATGAAAATTCGTTTAATCAAGCAAAAATAACAAAGTAAGAGTAAATAACATGCAAAATTTGAAAAGGAAATGGTTTGTTTGGAAATGCTATCTTTGATTTTGGGGCAAAAAACTAGCAACTGAATTTTTTCTCAAAAAATAAATTCTCAAAAACTCTATTTTCATAATCTCATTGCACCAATTTTTTTCCATTAATTTAGTTTTGGTTCTTATAAGTTTTGTATTTCTTTTAGGGAGTCAATGGAGACCTTATTGAGAGAACACGCCTTTCGATATTCACCTTTCCGAACACTCATGACCGGTGAACTTCCTCCTGATCAGTATGCTCTATCAGGTAATTATTTCTTTAATAATCCATACGTACAAAATACAAAATATTGTATGATGATTTAAACGCGATTTAAGTTCTACATACAACGCCACATTATTAAACCAATTTTTTTTTGTTATTTTGAGTAAACTTCTTTGAATTACAAAGTTAAAGATCAAGCGATTTTTTTGCAAAAACACAAGAAATAGTGAACAAAATCAAGTTATATTTTGTGTTAAAATAATCCAGAATGCGGTAAAAACGAGGATAACAAAAAGGTAATGGCATGAACTCAAGGCAAGTTTGCGGGCATCAGAGCCTAGTAGTGAAACGTATTCTGTGGCAAAAAGGAACTTATGGAGTGTTTAATATAGGTTATGAATCACTCTGACGGCAATCCATGTTTCACAATGAACTTTTTGCGGGCTTTGCGAATGATTTGAGTTAATAAATCCCGGAGGTTGCGATGGTTTCTGGATAGAGGTAACGAGCTGCAAATTTTCTGTATAGATCATCTCAGAATATGCTCTATGGAAATAGAATTCAGATTTAGAGATCTGACAGGCCACTCCATCTTCTAAATATCTTCAGCTTTAAGGTATCTCTCGATCAACCCAGTCCTGTATGGACGCTTATTTTCATTTATAAAAAGAAACAGAAGACAAAACAGACCTCTGCAATCTTATCTAAGACTATACAGATCTAAAAAATATGAGCTTGATGTCAGTACTTTTCCACATTGAAACGCTTCTGAAATTATTTTAGAAGCAAGCAGTGAATTATTGAGAACTGGGAAACTTCCTTAGACTTCAGAATGGCCTAACCCTTTAATAAACAAAAACTATACTTATTTTTATGTATAATTTGCTAAATTGTTAACGAGTTAGTAAATGTCTAAAATAAGAAATAAAGAAATGAAAATAAATTTCTATAATGTTACATACGTTCCAACTGTTAAACAGTAACGTTTTTATTTTTTATTTTCTTTTAAGAACAACAATTGGTTTCTTAAATTCAGAATACATAGTTTTATATTATTTTCGATTGACTCCTTTGGTTCTTTAATCGTCATCCATTCGTACGTGGCATATGTACAATTATAATTTCATTGCTTCCAATTTTATTCTATTACTCATAACTCAAAAATGATTTAGCATCTCTCAAAACTTTCTTCAAATATAATTAGCATGATTTAAATAAAATGTATTTTTCTTTCAGGTTTAGGAGGAATGCCATCGAGTGCCGATCTCCTATTCATGGCGAGTCAACCAGGTTCCCCATGGAAATTTCCATCGTCCCCTCTAAGCATGGCAGACTTGAGTGCCTTGATGTCAGCTCAACATCAATCCCAACAAAATCAGGCTAACTTACAGAGTCTCTACTTTGGTCTACAGAGATCTGCCTTTCCGCCATTTTCTCTACTTGGAGCTGGTGGTCCGACTGCTTTCATATCCGGAACTCCACCTCATCTACAGCCACCGCCATCATCAACACGAAGCACTGCCGGAGGTTCTAGCCTTTCGCCTATAAGTTCCTCACCGACTATGTCGTCGGTACCGACTTCAAGTCACTCTGGAGCACTATACTCTTCAATCCCAGTGACTGCATCAAGGTTGCCCCCGCTGTATCCTGGATTGAAATACCACCCATATTTTCATCCTCGGCTAGTGCAATCATCGTCGAACAAAGACTCAGAGTGTGATGTACTGGCACCACAAGTTTAGCATATTATAGTTTCAATTAATGTCTTGAAATTAGAAATTTGCACAGCTCAGAATGCTCAAAAAAGAATCCAGACAAAACGCTCCCGGATATCGTTTGGGTCAGAGACATCGCAAAAATTGTCTGTTGAAAATGATTGAAGAGGCTTTTGTATCTTATAGAATCTCGAAGCATTGATAGCTCTCAGCTAGTGAAAGTGTACAAAGTTATGTAGAAACAGAAATTATTATATTTATGGTCTGAATGTCTATGAAACTGTTAGATTGTAAACAATGACTATTACTATGACAACAGAAGAGGAAGTCATAGAATGTCTACGTTTCCTGCTTGTGTCTTTCATCATAATTGTAATGAAGGTTTCTTTTTCTAAGCATGAAACAGTAGAAAGCTTAAAATGCTTATGAAGAACTTTAACCTATTTCCTGGTGCAATGGTAAAGGTGGCTGGTTTTAAAAGCGAAACTTGGTTTCATCTGAGCAGAGGACAAGAAGGAAAAATGCTCTTTGAACTGTTTCTAATTGCGTGTTTCTTTATTATCAAACTTTTAAAAAAGTGATAAATAAAAATATATTACAACTTCTTTCTTCTTTTTATTGAAAGATGCCTAAGAAAGTCATTTTTGTTGTTACTTTCAAATTAAACAACCACAATTTAGACCTTTATATAGAATATCACCCATTAACAATTACTCGAAGAAAAGATTTATAACTGGAAGATATTTTAAAAATAGAAAAGTTAGGAAAATTTTAACTACGAATAAAAGTAAATGCATTTTTTTCTTATTTAATACCTTTTTTTTTATTACAAGCCAAATACCTATTCTACGTACAGGTTAAAAGAAATCTTAAATGAGACTGGGGGACAAATGTTCAGTTGCATTTATGCAAGTACTTGATATTGAATAATTTGGGTGTGGGGATTTCAAATTTGAAATTAGTTTTGCTCCGAAAGCTACAGATTATTTTCAAAATGTTATTTTTAGTTCAGTTTACTTTTTGTCTACGCTTATAAAAAACCTTATAAAGAACGTATAGGTTTGAATGTATGTACAAGTACATATCTGTTCCTTTGAAAATAACACGTAGGACAAAAAAACAAATGACCATAACTTATTGCATTACAACTGAAACTGAAAATGTATTACAGCCTTCTTCATGTAACACCCAACGTACATTGCAGTCACTCGACTGAATTTTAAAAAAAATCTTGGATCCTGGAAATCCTATCTTATAAAATTGCGTAAACACTGTATCTCGTAGAAAGAGACCGACTGCACATTTTAAACCAGTGATACGAAAATATCTAAGACCTGTGAGTTTTTAAATCAGGACTGAGCCCGTAATGCCTGTTTGAGAAAATGAACAAAGCTCGAAATCCGTGTTTATGAAATGACCACCACTCAAAATACGTGTTTACAAAAATGGACAGAGCTCGAGAGGCGGGTTTATGAATATCGACATAGAATTTGATTCCATTTTTCAAACTTCTTTTACAATTATTTTTTTTAAAGAAAAAAACTAATTAATTCAAATAATCATTCATTTGTATAAATCACTTGGCATATTTTATTAAACGAGTCTGTTTCTGAAAAAACTTTAAAAGTCAACAGTTTTTTTTACTAGGTAGCAACGTGGGCTATAAATTTATAATAGTGGTTTTAAATTTACGTTGTTGGTATTTCACTTTTAATACTCAATTTATCGCTTAGAGTTCTGAACAGGAAGACATCGCTTGAAAAGTTACATCTGTAATATACTAGGCAGCCCAGAATCCGAAGTTCAGGATTTAGTCCCGTATTAAGTAAGGAAAAGTAAGCTCGTACTTCCCTGTTTAGTTGTTAAATTTGGGTTGAAAACTGAAAAAAAAAGCACATTTTTGACTGTATCTATTTTTATAAACACGCATTTCGAGCTTTTTCCATTTGAAAACTCACCGATAATCTGTTAGAAAATCTCATGCAACAGAAAAAATAATGTTTCCGCAGTGTAAACAGCAAATTTTAACGAATACGCAATAATGAACAAGTATATACTTACGCAATAATGATAAAGTATAAGTAATAATGATAAAGTATATACTTACGCAATAATGATAAAGTATATACTTACGCAATAATGATAAAGTATCTACTTACACAATTAAAAATGATAAAATAATATGAATTTCTTTGTATTATCATTTGCTGCCCTTTCCGGTGACTTATCATTATTAGATAAATAAAAACGTTTTTAGAATTTCATCTCATCAAAAACTATCATCTATACTCAGTATCATTTGGCATTAATTATTGTCAAGATTTACCTCAATCAAACAATTTTCCCGATAAATTTGTCTTTAGTATATATAACTTTATTTCATTTACAATTAATGTAATATTATTTAAGTTTATATGTATAACCGAAATTGAGCTGAACTGTAACCATTTTACATAAAAGCTTGCTCATAACCTAAACTTAATCCAACGAAAATGATATTCCACAAAATGATATTCATTGTGTAAAAACAAATGAATTATTTACGTTAGATGACGTTAAATTTCGACATTGATAAACGTTCCTTAGTTGCTTTAGAAACAAATGATTGAGAGAAAACGTATTTTGGTGCTTAACTTAATCCATATTTTAATGTCGTGAAGAGCGTAGTTTTCATTTTTTAAGGCTTTATTTTTGCTAGAAAGATCCGTAATTTGTTTTTAAGGAACGATGTACGAGAGTAGAGATGACGAACCCATGGCATGCGTGTCACTCGGTGCCACATGTATTTAGATGGCACGCAAAAAAGTTATTTTAAATTACTTTTACTCAATTATATTCACTTAAGATAACATTTTTTTTAAAAAAAAAGCCCCAAAGTGATTCTTGGACGCCGTTATGTGTTTTCCCAGGACGCAAGCGACCAGTGCTTCTTCCACGTTGAAGTTGAAGTCATAGGAGAAGCTGGTATTTTCTTGTGAAGTATAGTTTGTCTGCGGTAAGAACTCCCCCCGCCACGAAGTCTGAGCCCGTCTGCTGCTATGGTAACAGGAGTAGCGTATTTCATGGAGGGTAGCATCTCTTCAATGTAGGACTAACACGATAGATCAAAGAAAAAGACTCCCTTTCTCTCGCAGACCAGACCGAGCCAAAACCTGTCTTAAACAATGATCCTACACCCCCTACTTGAAATAGTTATACCTCGTTACCATAGTCACCGCCATGAGTCCAGACGAATGGCTAGGGGAGTTCTTACTTTAGACAAACTATATGTGAGTGTAATGAGCTGTAAAGAGTGAAGACAANAGGAGTAGCGTATTTCATGGAGGGTAGCATCTCTTCAATGTAGGACTAACACGATAGATCAAAGAAAAAGACTCCCTTTCTCTCGCAGACCAGACCGAGCCAAAACCTGTCTTAAACAATGACCCTACACCCCCTACTTGAAATAGTTATACCTCGTTACCATAGTCACCGCCATGGGTCCAGACGAATGGCTAGGGGAGTTCTTACTTTAGACAAACTATATGTGAGTGTAATGAGCTGTAAGTAGGTGTTTTCATCAATGAATTTTATATAATCAATTGTGAGAAACCGCTTTGTTTTGAATTTAAAGAAAGTTAATGACTAAACAGTAAATATGTAATTCTATGGTTATGTAATTCTATGGTTTGAAATCAAAGCAGTGACTAAATGAATTTTTTTCTTTTTTTTTGAAAATATGGTATCTCACTTACTACACGTACCACTAGTTCAATAACAAAATAGCACACTAGACACTTCAAAATAAAAAAACGTAATTTAACAGGTACACTAATAGAAAAAGGTTTGCCATCCTTGTACTAGAGCGACATTGGAATGGTGTACTATTGTGTCTCGTGCTGCACAACACAGCACGTGCAGCAATGCTAAGAGAGAAAAAAAAATTGCGATCAATGATAACTCTGTTGTTCTATGTTGTAGTCAGGACGATTTTATTGACACTGAAACAGAAGATGGTTGGAAACATTTTTCTTTCTATCCATATTTGTTGACCCACTAACTTCAACATGATAAATAAATCGTATTTTATATTTTGAAATACATTCCCTATTTCTCATGGCATAAATTGGTTTTCACGAAACAAGCCTGATTTCGTAGCAGATAACTTCAACCGTTGTTTACAAAGAGAGCGTTATTTATTTACCCTAGGAGGTTTACTATCTATTCCAGGATAGCGTGAGAGCGATAACTTGATAAGTAATAATTAAGTTACCAATCTAATAAATACTTGATATAACCAATAAAAATACCATGCTGACCACCCTACAGATTGCAGTAATTAAACTACTGTATTAAATTTGACGTGCTGAAAAAGCCCTTTTTATTATTAATTTAGCCAAATTTATTTATTTATTTTTCAAAATTCCAATTTGTTCGAAAGTTGTGTTCAATTTAAAGTGCTTTTTTCTTGAATTTTTTCTTAGTTCGTTTGCTTTAAATATTAAACATTTATTCATTGTTGGGGAAAAATATATTTTTTCTCTCTAGAGATCTTTATTTTATAAGTTCGCTCTTTAGTTAATGTCAAAAGTAACAAAGAGAGAGATAGAGCTACTGCCAGATATAAGTTATAACATTTATATTGAAGTTCTTAAAAATTAAAAAGAACTTAATAAAATGGAAATGAAAACCGTTTCCTTTTTGAACTGTAATGAATCTCGTTAACGAGTAAAATTACTTCTCATTTATTTCTTCGTACTGAATTCCTCAATTTTTATACCTTAAGTTAATTTTTTTCAATCACAGATGATGATTTTGCAAAACTAGGGTCATGATTCCCTTACAAATCAACTGCGTCATGATTGTCTTAGTAGCAAAAAGTTCAAACATAAAACTACAATAATTATCAAAAAACATTCTAATAACAAGGGGAAAAAATAATAATTAACAAGAAACAATTTCGGGAGCTGATGTGTGGAGCGAACACGGAGTGTAGACTCCTTTTCTAAATTTAAATAGTATTTCAAATTAATCTTACTTCACTGCTGAAATATTCAGATAAGTTTCCGTAGAAAAAGTAAACAGCGATAGCGAAACATAGTTCATAAATAAACAATAAATTAATAAATGAACAATAAATTGCATTATTGAAGGAAAAAAAATCAACAGATAAAATTAAATCAATAAATTCCGTAAGGCAATCCAAAATATGTCAAAAAACTTCATATCAATGCACAGGGGTACAAAAAATACAATAGAAATTTCTTTGTAGTATTTATAATTCAATAGATTTACGTGTAACATTTATAATATAATAGGAATTTATAATCCTTGGCTTAATTATATGAATTATTCGATTAGCTAATTACATAAGGAAATATTACTAGTTAATTCGTAAATCTTTCCTAAATTAAAATATTATTTAAAATTAATCTTACTTCACGACTAAAATCTTTTCCAATAAACTGCCTCATCGGGAAATTTTTTTTTTTTTTTAAAAATCAAGCTATATATCTTCAAACAATTAATATATTGAATTACACAATCAGCAAATCTTGTTTTAATTCTATCATATTACATTAAAGAAATTTATCGTCTGAAGTTTTGTTGAAGCGTCTTTAATTAT